GTTTATAAATTGGCAGAGATTTTATACCAGTCCACTAGGGTTATGTTTTACAAGCACCAAATGGACCCAGTTCATATTTGTTTCCCCACACACAACCTCTCTCTCTCTCTCTCTCTCTCTCTCTCTCTCTCTCTCTGTGTGCGCGCACGCACGCGCCTGCCTCTTCCCTTCCCCACTGTCTCTGTCTCTCCTACTTTCCCTTAAGTTTGAAAAGGGACCCTGAGCCCTAGATAGTCAAGCAGTTTTAGTGTAGTGAAACAGGAAAAGGTTTTGACATCGTTTTCCACCGTAAGTGCTTGGAAGGCCATCGGAATGGAGAGCCTGGATGTGAAATATTGAGAGAGCTGTAAAGCATGTGATTTGGAGCAGCCCTGCCCTCTGGGATCTGTGTGCCATGCCAGCTGACTTATGCCTGCCAAGTTCCACCCTGCTCCCTCCCCACTTAATTAACACAGCAACCACAACTTCGTTACCCTGAGCATGAAATAAAGCTAATGAATCATGTCGTACTTTCGAAGCCGCATTAGATCTGCAATTGACACACGCTTTTACATCTATGTCAGCACCCACCCTCTCTCATTTTTCCCCTCCCCTCTGCCGGCATAAGTCAGGGGCCTCACACAGTTTACCTGTCACTCAACAGCAGAATTTGCATGTTAGTTAAGCTGTTAGACTGAGTAATTACCAAGAGGGTCAGCAGCTCCTCCCATCAAGCCAACATGTGAAGCCTAGCTTAACTGAGTGAGCAACTGATGTCTCTATGTGTCACATGAGGCTTTGGCAGCAGGTGGGGGGGGGGACGAGGTGGGGGAGAGAGAGAGATGCATGCCAGTATGACTCAGGGCTAATTGTGCTCTTTTGCTGTTGTTCAGGCAGCTTAATTAGAGAAACAGGAGGGCTCTTCAGCTGCATGAATGGAAAGCATCATTTGGGCAATGCAGGGTGGGGGAGTCATTGGGAATCCCTCTGCCTGCCAATAATGCAAGCCATCATTGTCCTCCAAAAAGGGTATCCCTTCATCAGATATTTTGGAAAGGGAACCAACATAATCAAGAGGGTAGTTTTTCTTCTTTCTTATGCTTTGGTCTGAGGCAGGAGATTTTCTGCATATGTCAATTAAAGTTTGAACTCAGCCCAATGCAGCACATTGAAATGTGGCAAGAACAAGCCTAAACAACTTGCGATCCACCAAACCAGCCTGCTATCCTATGTAGGCATATTGTCCTTTGCAATGTATATACATGCACATTTTCATAGGTAATGGCCAGGACCAGTGAAAGCGCCATAGTCCACCAGCAAACCACCCATTTTGCATTCATAAAGTCCCAGATTCAGTCCATGTAGGATTGGGGAAGACATCAGTCTGAAACACTGAAGAACTACTGGCAGGCAGTGTAGGGTAGACACTGTGGAGCTCTAAGAACATCAGTTTTCTGTATTCACTGGGAGCAGCAGGAATTCTGGACAGCAGTTGCCAGGTTGAGTTAACTCCCAGCTGTCTTCTCTGAAGATACAAATGGATTAATACTAATATAAGACTTAGCTCTTTCTAAATTATTAAGGCACAATATGCCTACAAAACTGCATCCAAGTAAGATGGCACACATTTGGGACTTCAGTTTAGTTATTAGCTTACAGGATTTTCCATTCTTGTGATGTATATATGTATGTATTAAATGCTGCATATTTCAAATACTTGAAGAATAGATCATTTAGTTCATACGACGTATGGAAGGGTTTTTTTTAATCTTTTACAAATAGCATTTGTTCAGAAAATAAATTACAATTGTTTGGAATGCTTAAACTTAAAAAAGCTGTTCTTAAGGATTAATTTTTAAACAATTGAATCGTGAGTGTAATATGAATGTAGTTAAGATGATAAATGCAACTAATTTTCTCCCTCTATTAGCCCCTTTCATATGCTACTTACAAATGCCAGTCAAACTCAGCAATCCTTTCATTTTATTATTCAGTGATGAGGTAGCTAGATTAAAAATACATGATGGCATTTTCCGAGTTGGATTTATAAGTACCATGACTGTTTAATTTTGGGCTGCCATTAGCTACAAATGGAAGAAAGTGCAGTTTGCAGACTAAAGACCACCACTGAAAAAAAGAGGTTAGGGTTTGAATAGCACCTTCTGCAGCTATGTCACCACATGCCATTTTGAAACTGCAATTCTGAAATACTATGCCCAAATATCTATTGTTAGCTGGCAATGTAATTGCAGTGCAGAAATAATATTCAGTCAGTTTAAAAGTTCAAAATTTTTAGATCTTTTAACAAATTTTAATACCTGTTTTTATCCCTTCACATTTTCTTCTCTGGTTTGCAATAGCTTAATTCACCCATAGCTGCAACCCTCCCTTCCCCCCATTGAACTTCATGGCAGTAAGTCTTGTTGACTTGATGGGACTCATGAGTAAATGCACCTAGCATCAGGCCAGACATTTGGTTCACTTTGCTTTAGACAGCGCATGAGAATGTGAACAAAACGGACACAAACTAACTTAACAAAATGGAGTTATCAAATACACTACATCAGTGCAACCGAACAATGGTTTGGCTGCAGTCCTATGCTTACCTGGGATTAAGTCCCACTGAACGCAGTCAGCCTTGATTCTGAGTAATGTAACAGCAGTGCATTCCTAAGCAACATGTAGATTGAAACATTAGCTTGTTTAGCAATAATTTAGATGTATCATTTTCATGTTTTCAGATCATGTGGTGTAAGCCACCCAGAGTAGGTGGGTTATTAATAATATGGCTCTAGTATAGCCCTTAAAATGGATTCCATTCCAAATGTATTAAATTTGGACTTAACTTCAAATTTGGGGGCTTGCTTCCAAGGAAGTGTGCTAACGATTGCAACCATGGAGCACATGAAAATTTCATCAGAAAAAAATATGTACCATAGAGCTGAATAATTGCAATCTTAGATACTTAAAGGTAGTGTCAAGGTCATTATTTTCAAACCAATGTCCGGGAGTGGGTGATATGGAAACAAAGAGTCCTGTGGCAACTTAAAGGCTAACAGGTTCACCGGATAGACCTGACTTTGTCCGAGCTAATTTGTGTTTTAGAGATTTGGATCCTGGCAGTGCTAATATAATGCATTGTTACATGCAGGTGCATCTTGCCTTGTAGGGCTCCCAGTCAGTGCTAATGTAGGTAGCCTATCTGTGGATGGGTTCGTGCATTTCTGGGGTGGTGGTTCCGTGGCTTCTATTTGGAAATTGGTTATTTTTGGGTGCATTCTAATTAAATGTAGAGCTGGAGCCAGGTCCACCGGGTGAAAAGCCAGATTCCTAAATATTCAGCTCTTCAAATAAGATAGTCTTTTCTCTCTAAATGAAGGGATGCTAAATCCAATTATTGCAGTAGAATAGACTGCTTCTTAAACGAGCAAATATGACTCACCTCAAGGGATATTTGTGGTTGCCTGTGGCGTCCCTGAAGCTAAAGAGAGAGAGAAATTAGATGCTTTCCCTCCTCACTAAATTAAAACATACTTGGATTCATAGCAGGAATGAAAGACGTCCCTGCCTGAAACCCCCAGTGTCAGCCTGCTTTGCAAAAGTGCAAACTGGTAATTGGTGTGGAAAGTTTGAGCAAATAGGTAAAAAGGCAACTTCAGAGCAACCACTGGCGTATCACATGGGTTTCCTGTGGTGATGGTTTGCTTTGTTTTGTTGCCATCTTTTGCTTCAAAAGCTGTTAATTTTAGTGTGCGATATGTAAACATCATTAAGATTAGCACTCAGCAGACAACTAAGTAGATAGCTGTTGGGAGTCACAAACTGCTATATTGAAAGTGCCTCTTAGGACAGCTTCAAACTGTGTGTACGTGCATCAGAGAGCCACAACCACCCCCATCTGCCTGGTGTGTAGTTGAAGCAAGAATTTTTCATTGGGGTTCATTGCTTGTGAGTGCCAAAATTTGCCTGATTCAAGCAATTTCTGATTCCACATGAACATGCCTATGCACATGGTTTTTAAAAAATATTATTCAGCACTTTTTGCTTCCTGAGCTGCTGCTTCTCACCACTGTTTTATTTTCTTCTTCTTGGGCTAGATGGCCCTCCCAACTCTACAAATCTATGATTCTTTGCCCTCACTCTACTTGACTTCATTTGCCATCATTGCCCTTTTTATACAAAAATATATATAATTAGCTCTGGCATCCCATGTGCTTTTTTTGTCAATGACTTCATGGTGATATGGCTGACCACCAAGTCATCACCACTGTCCATGAACCAATTCAGATGGGTTACTGCAGCCAATCAAAACTATGCTGCAGTGAAGGCAAGTGAGGCTGAGAATGAGGGCAAATAAGGCAAGGAACAAAGACGAAGGAAAGCCATGCCCAGCAGCAATAGCAACCAGGAGAGCATAAGGGGGTTTGAACAGAATCACAATAAGTCAGTAAGTTCAGCAAAGCGAGGGGTTGAAGGGAATATGCTTGGCTGCTTCGTTCATATTTCCAACATTTGAGAGTAGATGGCACTGCCCTGAAGCCAATGTGATAGTTCCATACATTTTCCCCCAAAACTTATTCAAAAAGTGAAGTAAGTTGATAACTTAACATGCAATTAGCTTATTATTGGAGACAGAAAGCCAGTCTAAAAGTCCAAAGGGGGGTGGGGGGAGCTGTTTAATGGCAGGTGCAGAATTGTACTGAGATAATTTAGGCAGGCAAAGAAATGTCACAGCAGTGCAGTAAGTAAATGTAGCCTTCACTATGCCTTGAGGCATGTTTTCACAACACCCTCACGCTGTTTTGCTCCAGGCATGATGACTTCCACCATTCATAGGGATCATACACAATGTCCCGTGCCAGCCTGAGTGCATGCCAGGTATTCCATAATGGAGCAAATGGTGAAACAGATATTCCTATATTATTTCAGTTGTATAGGATCATAGAATCATAGAATTTTAGAGTTGGAAGGGACCCTGAGGATCATCTAGTCCAACCCCCTGCAATGCAGGAATACACAGCAGCCCCATACAGGGATCGAACCTGCAACCTTGACAGTATCAGCACCACGCTCTAACCAACTGAGCTATCCAGGATAGTGAAAACCTTTGTATAAATATTTGATTGGCGCACCTTCTCACATCAATAACACAATAAATAAACCCATGAAATGTTGATTTCATAGCTACAACATCATAAGAAAAAGCTCACGTAAGGCTGAATTGAATATTCTAATGGTGATTTTTGGTTTGAAATTGCATTTTTGATGTGGCCAAAGTTTAAAAAAAGAAAAAATACTTCACCACACAGCCATGTTTCAAAAGTGTCCACTGCCTCCCCCCCCCCCTTGGTATCATGACCTCTGTGCCATTCACTTCCTTTGCTCTCACAGTCTTTGGCCTTATTTGCTTTCAGTGTCATTTAATGAGATTGCCTGTACCAACCCTTGTGATGTCATTCACAGTCATCTGTGTTGTCACCATGTCAGACACAGTGGTGCTGTGACATAATCCACAAAAATCACATGGGTGGTCACAATCAGTCATGCTGAAGAACAGTACAATGTAAACAACATCTGGAAGCAATCATTGATGGCTGTACCCAACTAAGTTGTACTCAGTGTAGACCCATTGAGACAATTGGACCTAAGTTTGCAGTGTTCATTGACTTCAGTGAGTCTACTCTCAGTGGGACTAGTATTGACTACAACCCTGAATCAGAGGGCACTCAAAAAGCACAAGACCTGAGTATGCAAGAAGATTTGGCTCAGCTCTGTGCTCACACTGGAGAACTATAATATTGCAATAATGGGTGATTACTTGTGCTTTCTTAGAGGGAGATCTTCTCACGAAACATAGAAGTGACCTGTTGTTTGTTTGGCCCTTTATGTCTCAAGTGTTCTTGTGTGTGTGGTAATGTGACGTGACACTGGTTGTTGATGTGCCACAAATGATACAGGGTAGTTTCTGATACACACCCTCTGAAGCAGATTGCCGGGGGGGGGGGGCAGCAGCTACAGAATGGGGGCGGGGGAAAGTAGAAGTCCATTCCTTTTTTGAGTATAGATAGATGAATCTGTCAATTTCAGTTTCTCTCAGTTTGTTTTTGTTTTGTTTTTTGTCTTTAATTCAGTTCTCTAAATTTCTGTGTCCGTTTGTAATTATTTAAAAAAATCACTGTGAAAATTAATCAGTGAGTTTTTGTTTGTTTGTTTGCTTGCTTGCTGTATTTATATCCCATCTATTTTCTCTAAGGAGCTTGAGCAGGGTGTACATGGTTGTCCCCCTCCTCATTAAATCCCTACAGCAACCATGTGACACAGTGTAGGCTGAGAGATGAAGGGACTAGCCCAAGGTTACCCAGTGAGGTTCATGGCCAAGTAGGGATTTGAACCCTAGTCTCCCTCATAGTGTAAGCACTACACCACATGTCTGTATGTAATCTCCCTAAATATACAATATTTTTGCAAAGTAATTTCACTAATATAATGCATCTTATGTTATTTCCAGTAATATGTGCATTCATGAGCACACTTTACCTAGTACATACATTTCTGTATGCCTTACTTGACTGAAGAATGGCATTACACAATTCAGAGAAGTACAGGTATTGAAGGGGGGCTGGCTGTGTTTCAGACCATGCGTTGTTATGGAAAGTGAAAATTAAGTAGGTTCGCCTTTAAATGCAAACTGAATTGAATTTCTTCCAAATTCTGCTGTTGGGTGGGCACAGCCGGATGCCCCCCACCGGTTGGATGCTGAGCCATGCCACCTCAATGCCTCTAAGTTGGGGGGGGAGGAGGAGGATACTCAAAGGGGAACTCCCCCAATATTCTGTGGCTTATTTCTGAAGAATGGAAAGGCACACCCTGGGTTGTCAGACATCGGTAGATTTTTCCCCCATTTTTGCTGCAAGGCTGAATTTCAGCGATATCACTATACCAAAGTGAGGACCAGGATTTTCAGATTTCCTGGAAGATTCATTTCATCCCTCTCAGAACCTAGGTTTGTGTGTATGTGTTTTAATGGTCCTGCTGGTGTGAGAGAGAACATCTTGAGCCCTTCCCTTTATGCCTCTGGTTTATTGTGCTCCGTACTGGGGTTATGACATAATAGCTATGCAAAACAGGGCCTCTTCCCCACCACCCCGTAAGTGAGTTTAAGTCTTCTAAGCCAAGGTTAACAATCTATATTTATGAGTGGTAGCCAGCTGCCTCAGTGTTTTCACATGTGTTTGTTAATGAACGGTAACCTATGGGTCAGGTTATTATGTAAATAACCATTGTCAAGGGTAAAGGTGAAGAACCCAGTAATGAGTTGTGTCTCTCCATTTCTCTCTCAGGCCTCTAATGAATACTGGATATTGCCATTCATATGGATTTCTTTTTCTTTATTTCTTTTTTTAAAAAACCACCAAAAAAAACCCCACACCAAACCTCTCATTTTATCTGAATTGTGCAAATGGCGGGGGCAGGGGGGAGAGAGAGAGAGAGCAAGAGAAAGAGAGAGAGAGACATGAGGGAAACCTAAATTTGTAATTAAGTTAAAACTCTGTGATTGCTCTCCTCATTCTGTGCATCCACATCCATGTCCTCAGCTGGAATTAGTTACATATAATCTGGCAGCCCAAGGTTTGGACAAACTCAACCCTCCTGCCTCCCCCACTCCCCCTCCCTTGTCCACACCTATGTTTCCAGGCCTGCCGAGCAGAATTTAACCATTTCTTTTAAGTTTCTGCAGCTTTTGCTTTAGATGCCCACACATCAACAGCCTGCATCTTTGCAGATAATACTTAACTGTGAAGCACAGCCGGCAAGCCATCTAACAGGCTTTTCCATTAGGGAGGTTAACAGCAAACCTTGCCTGTGCAGGATTACTGACAGAGTGTGAACAGAAGGTGTAGCCTCATTGCATATGCTTTTTAATATCATACCACAGTTGGCAAGGAGGATTGAAGAGGTGCAGCAGTGGGGGGGGGCACACAGCTGACTTTAGCTCTTGGATATCTGATTCCTCACATCACTGTGATAAAAAAAGAGACGACGACAACCCTTGCTCAGTTTATATAGAAATCCACCTGCAGCAGCATAAGTTTATCCGAGCTGGGGACGGGTCATGGTTAGTATTCATGGTCAGTGCATTCTCTGTCCCGCATCTGCGTTGTGTTATCTAATGTAGGGGTATAAGTTGTGAATGAGAAAAAATAGTGTTGTCAGCTGAATCCACTGTTTATGCTGGCTCAAAGTCTCTGTGAATATTGGAACATTTTTTTAAAAAAAGATCTCTCTTGGACAAGACTGAATCTGTCAAATGTCCTGTTTCCAAAACTGGGGACCCAAATGCTCCCAGGAAACCTATAGACATGGCATGGAAGAAGCAGACATCTCCTGGTTTTTGCTCCTACCCCAAATGGCACTCAGAGACACAATGATTCTGAACTGGATGGTTCCATAAGCTAATATGGTGAATGGCCACTGATGGACCTTCACCTTCATCTATTTACATCATGCACTTTAAAAACCACCCAAGCCAGTAGCTGCCGCCACATCTTTACTTTAATTGCCTTTTTTTAAAAAAAATGCATATACAGTGGTACCTTGGGTTACAGACGCTTCAGGTTACAGACACTTCAGGTTACAGACTCCGCTAACCCAGAAATAGTACATCGGGTTAAGAACTTTGCTTCAGGATGAGAACAGAAATTGTGCGGCAGCAGCAGTGGGAGGCCCGATTAACCTGGTACCTCAGGTTAAGAACAGTTTCAGGTTAAGAACGGACCTCCAGAATGAACGGACCTCCAGAATTCTTAACCTGAGGTACCACTGTATACATACACATACGCCCTGTAGCTGGCAGGACAAAGCTGCAGAGCTGTCCTCCCAACATTGACATCGCTGCATCTACCTGGCCAGCGCTGGAATGGGGATGGGCAGAGAGGCTGCAAGGGCAGGGCTGTGGGCACCAGATTGGCTCTGCTGGTGAGTCCACACAGCCCTGACCCTTCCACCGCCCTACCCCATCTCAACACCACCCAAGCAAGTGGTGGCAATGCCGGTGTCAGGAGGGAGGCTCTGCCCTGCACCAGACACTGCTGCATTCACACATACACACACACCCAAAAAAGACCTGCAGTTCATAGTGTACAGTTCAAGTTAGGTAACTTGACAGTCACAGAACTGTAAGCTGGCAAAGAGTAGCACAGGCATTAGCATGGTGGCCTTGGGCAGAAAATAAATGATAACCCACCTAGTTGTTTAAAAAGAGTGGCAAAAATGGCTCCCCTGCTGAATTGAAGACAACTTGGGAGGAAATCAGAACTGGATCTTTATGTGAAATGACTGTGAGCTCAGTTCTGGTATGAAAACAAACCCTGGGGAAATCTTGCATGTGGAAGCACCTTATTCCTTCATTCTATGTGTACACATGCTCTCCCCAAACCACTCTTTTGCTCCTGGCTCTGGTTGGTGGACAATGAAGCTCTTTCAGAAAACTAAGTCGACCCCCCCCCATGAAACCTGGAGCTTCCCCACCCCTCTCTAAAACATTACAGACCCCAAGAACGCATGGGGTGTCCCTTCCACCAGATGATGGCTGTTCCATTGCTCTGCTGATACAACAGACACCTCCATTTCTGTGTGGCTGTATATATGTGTGTGTGTGTATATATGAGACAATTTTATTCCGGCAAGAGTATAACAAGGTTAGATGTGTGTAAGGGGGCACCTGCATTACAGCTAATGGAGCCATTGGTTTGATTCAGTGTTTGCAGAGGGGGCAGAAAGGAGGACGTTTGCATGAACTGCATGTGCGAGGCTTATTTTAGCCATTTGAATAATGTGATGTTGCCACTAGGGTGTCTGTGCAAACGAGTTCTCGTATCTCCCAGGCTTTCCAGGTCCAATAAAAGCAAAATATGAATGATGGTCTGACTTGCTCAGCCTCTGCTTTTTGCTTTTATGATTGAGAAATAGTCGCTGAAATTGTCAATAACAATAAATAAAATCAAGCCGCCTTGTTATACGAGGAAGGAAGGGGCGGGGGAGAAGACTCCTTTCTTTGCTGACACCCCGTTTTGTTCTTTTTTGGCATGATGTGTG